CCATCCACACACATTTGAAGTCAATTGACGGAATAAAATGGGAAACGTTGCCGCGCCTCTCCCGCCTTTCACTCTCCGGTTGCAATCTCCAGGAGCTGCCAACTTTTGGCTTCCTCCTCAATTTAACCAATTTGACATATCTTAATCTGAGCTCTAACTTGCTGAGCTTTCTTCCGCCTGACCTCGTGACTTCTGTGCCAAATTTAAGATGGCTGGATATATCATCAAACTCCTTTAAGGAATTCCCTTACTTCGCATCACCCAGCCAACTGAAATCGGTTAATGTTGCAAACAACAAGTTTGTTTGTAATGATATCAACGCTTGGTTGTATCCACAGCTACCATTTGAGGGGATCGATTTTCCACAGATGTGTACTGTGCCGGCTCAGCCGTATTCCATTGAATTTGTACATACTTCTCTCAATCAAAGTGTCCGTCCACTGGTTGCTGGATATTTTATCATAAATTGCACGGTGAACTCTTCCGAATTTCAGTGGCGTTTTGCTGTTCAGTCGCCAGTCGGGTTCATTCCTGGACCTGGTTGGTCCATTCCTTCTGAACAAGATCCTCCGCAAATGGTCACCTTCTCTTACAAAGTGCAGCCCGTTCAAGCATCGACAGTGATTGATTTCAGGCAGACCACGCCGTTCAGTGCTACAGTAACTGTTCGGTATGTTAGAGGGCATCATCTGGGTGATTGGCGCTGCGTCGCCAGGTCAACAGGAAATGTATACCCGAGTCCCAGCGTTGTGCATGTTTCACCAGTCAGCCAAGTTCATGATTTATACATTACTTCTCTCGTCTTTGGATTCATCATAATGGCAATCGTCCTGTTACTCGGTATACTCATAGGATCTGTACGCTATCTGAAGGAAACCAAGTGTTTCACAAAGCCCCGGATGCACAAGTACACCAGTCGCACCCTCATTGGCATTATCCCGGTGCCGGGTCCTGAAAAAAAGTTCTCAGTTTCGTTCGATGGCATACGATTAAATCAGCGCATTTGTCCACCTTGCCTCCTGCAAACGCGCTTCTTCTGTGCGCATTGCCAGACTGTTCATTTCTTTACTGAGATTGAAGTCGAGCCATCACCCACTCCTAATGTCCTCCTGACTGATATTGAAGAACAGCCTATACCGAATGGGACATCGAGCAAGCCACTCCAGAAGAAGTTAAACGTTAGCGAAGTGTACGCAACATCACCTGGACCGTACCTTGACCCGCTTTTAACTCAGGAAACTTCTCAGCAAACTACCGAAACTGCCGGTCCCAGTCGTTCTCCTGACAATGCCGAGTCAAATGGCGTAACTGTTGGCTTCGATAGTTTTGCGGCAGAAATTCAGGACACGTTAATGGCTTCTTGTCAGGGCGACAACAATAACTACCCAGCAGAGGCCAATGTCAGATGCTCATATGATTTCCCCACAGAATACTGCCACTGCTGTCATCAAGCTCACAATTTCACGACTGCAGAGGAAGAGACGGAAGAAAAATCTATGCGTGACGTAAAACTCATTGTGTCTGACGAGAAATTGGCCCAGGAATACACTGAAGCACTACAGGAACTTAAAGACGCGGCAATCGCAAACGATGCTCTCACTTTCCGTGAACGGCTCGAGGACTTTCGCGAAAAGCTTCGTCATGATGTGGGCACTGGAGTACGTGTTGCACGCAGTGAACTATATACATTGCGCACGAGGTCAGCCAAAAGTGTAGCTTTTCTGCGAAATCAAAGCACTGCAGCCGCCCAGAGGGTAAAGGCTGGTCTTTCTCAGGTAAAGGATGGAATGCGAAGCGTGGCCGAACTTTGCGGCGTTGGAGGAACCATTGGACAATCAATTTCTGTCATAAGCATTTCGAAGGACGACGACACTCAAACTTCGAGGGAACGTTGTTTTTCAGAGTTTCATTTCTAGTGTTTGAAACGGAACCAGCTTGCGTTCCTACCAGTCTTTCATTCAAAACTGTTCCTTTGCACTGCCCCGAGATTCTGCTCAAACTTTACCACGAGGTGGTGGCAGGGACAATATCAACGCCCTATAAGCACCCAAAGGCGTGCTGGGCGAACTATACAGTGAGTTATTCAGCTGTAATCACGGATATTCTGATGGATGTTCTGCTGTTTAACTCAAAGTAAAAAATACCAGCTTTCAATTTTATTTAAGACTTTCCTTCTCTCCTTTCATCCTATCTCACTAGCATTCGATCTACTAATAAGTCAAAATGAGCATAGATAAAAAGGGATTTTATTCTGAGCAATCAATGTAGCAGTTAAAAGTTTCGGCGATCAAGACCGCTGCCGCCGCCTCGTGGCGGGAATTTGCCTCGCTGTTGATAGAGTGAAAAATTCTTGTTATCCCGTTCTGATGCATCCGAGCGTTCCGTTTTTACATGTGTTAAAACAGGTGGCTCACTAGTGAACAAGTCGACAATAATCTGCAAGAGTCGGCCTTCTATGGTTTGTTGGTCCCAGTCTGTGGGACCGGGTCTTCGGATTTTGCAATCTAATAGCTTGTCAATGCACTTCTTGAGACTCTGAAAGGGAAAATATATCGTCGGCATGAGGTCATGTATGCTTTCGGGACTGGTAAGAATGAATTACTTTGAGCAGCACCTGCACTTATGCTACACAAACGGGTGAACATAGTTCACAAAGTGGGAGGCTACCATGTCATGGTACCTTTAGGTAGTCAAAGGTAATGGGTTTGGAAAGCGAGTTTCCAGAGTCATCTGGGTTGAAATAGACTTGAAAACGAACCTTCATTAGTTGAGCAAGCCGGTGCGAAGATTTGAATTTAATCCAGTCGTCAAGGATGAGGACTTCTTCATCTCCAACCTTGAGAATAGAAAGAAAACGAAGGGTTGAGTTTGTTGTAAACGGAACATGCAAAGCAGGGACATGTATCAAGAGGCTGTGACAGGAAATCGTCGTTGAGTCTTGTTATACACACAGGGAGCTATGCCGCATTTGATTTCAACTAAGCAGCGAGTGCAGATAATAAAAAAATAAGTTGTGTCTAACGTTGCCTGGGCAGAGGACACGCGATGCTCTAAGATAAAGCTGCTCAATGGCGTGAAGGCACAGAATTAAGGTGAACGCCATGGAATTTTCTGATTGGAAAGGGTTTTCTAGACGTCCTTAACCATCGGTGGGGATTAGAGAACTGAAATAGTCTACAAGCCTAATTTCACGTAAGTACAAAACGGCAAGGAATAAACTTGCAGGTAAACACATGTTAATTTACGGAAACTATTTGCCATTTTGGTCTCAAGAAAGCCCTATACAAAACTCTTCAGACAGGCTTTTTAAGGAGGCTTAAGTAAAAAGAGTTCATTTTCTTTATGCAGAACGTAGATAATAAAAATCGACAGAAACTAAGGCCGTCCACGCGACCTTCTATTTTATAGAAACGATGTCTGGACAGCCGGTAGAGCCGCGAGAACATAGTTTATAATTTCAGCCTGTAAAACAAAGCTTCCAAT